TGGGAAACCAGTGTTTCATATCGGTAATGTCACTATAAATTATCGTATGATAGTTGGGTTTCAATGTAGTCTGGTAGATTTTTTGAAGTACAGAAGGGACTGTGATGTGCGTTGAACATATCCAAGGTCTTGATGCTCTTGCTGGGATATTTCTCCACGAGGATTCTACTTGTAAGACCACCGAGGGAACCTCCGAGGGAGTGGGAGTGGATGTTCACCTTCATTCCATTCTCACCGGCATATTTTAGCATGTCGCGAAACCCTCGTTCATATTCTATAAAAAAATGCAGTGTCTTTGAACTTATCGTATCGACCCAACGGTACATCCCTCAGAGGCATATTGCTTGATACACTCTCGCGGTCCCATCCAAAAAAAAAAACTCTTTGATGAAATCCGACGCCTACAGCCACTCAGAACGCAGCGTTTTGCACGTTTCCTGCATCTAGTCACAAAGCGTACTTCTGGAAGTACTTTCGTGCCACAGCACGCACGGGGTGGCGCGTGACGAATGGAAGCTACTTGCTCTTCCTTCACATTTACCCCCTGCTGACCAGAAAGTGGAAAGTGCATTGAACGCGCGCGTTTGAGACAACAGGTGCGAAAACAGTAGGTATCCAGGTTAGACCCAGAAGTGCGCTGGGATACCTTTCATCCTCAACTTTTGGAACAATAATAAAGAATCTGAGACAGAACCTCGTACTGTTGCCCCCCATGGCCCTCGGAGCTCTTCAAGGCGCACATGATGTTCAAAGTAGAACTGGTCGATCAGGCTGTGAAGTGCGGGGGTCTCTAAGATTTGTTTTACTAACGAAAGTTCGATTTCAGGATTATCCACATCTAATTTGAGCACAATAAAGTCTTCGGGCCTGAAACTTTTTATCAATAGGCTCAATGGATTTAGGGCACTTGAAGGGTCGAGTTCAACCCCAGCGTTAATCCAGTGATATGACGAAAGCCACTCAGCCGGGAGTGAATCGTACAATTCAGTCACATTCCCTTGGGTCAGTTCATAAGCATAAATGTGATCGAAGTAGAAGCCGAACTTTTGATAAAGTTTTATCAACGATAACGTGGGCGGTTCGCCAGTGTGAAATACAAGCGATGCCCCGAGATCGACAAATACTGTCCTCGAGGTCCGAGAGAGCTTCGAGCAAAGAGTCTTGAAATCGTGCACAAGATACTCAGTGTTCATCACTAGTTTGTCGTCAGAACAAAACCCGGGGTGTCGCATAGGGGGCAGTATCGGTTCCAATGATCCAGATGGCGTGGTTGATAGGGATCCATCCTTAAAAATGGTTTGTAAACCTCCTTCAGGTTGCAAATCATTGCAATCGAAACGGTTGCCTGTTTCTTTGTGCAAGCGTATATCAGGGATGTCGTTGAAATTGTTTATCCAGTCGTAGTATACTTTTCAGCTTGCAGTATAGGGTTTAGGGTTTAGGGTTTAGGGTTTAGGGTTTAGGGTTTAGGGTTTAGGGTTTAGGGTTTAGGGTTTAGGGTTTAGGGTTTAGGGTTTAGGGTTTAGGGTTTAGGGTTTAGGGTTTAGGGTTTAGGGTTTAGGGTTTAGGGTTTAGGGTTTAGGGTTTAGGGTTTAGGGTTTAGGGTTTAGGGTTTAGGGTTTAGGGTTTAGGGTTTAGGGTTTAGGGTTTAGGGTTTAGGGTTTAGGGTTTAGGGTTTAGGGTTTAGGGTTTAGGGTTTAGGGTTTAGGGTTTAGGGTTTAGGGTTTAGGGTTTAGGGTTTAGGGTTTAGGGTTTAGGGTTTAGGGTTTAGGGTTTAGGGTTTAGGGTTTAGGCTTTAGGGTTTAGGGTTTAGGGTTTAGGGTTTAGAGTTTAGGGTTTAGGGTTTAGGGTTTAGGGTTT